GAAAAACTTTGTTAAATTACTAGCGTTGCTACTTTTAGTTTGTTATTCCCCAACAATGCTGTAGAGGTGAAATCGTGACAGGCACCTATAGGGGAAGTGTACATTCAAGGCATTAGGACTGAGCCTATGGGCTGTGACAGTAATGGCCTGGCAGACTCAGAGTTGAAAGGGATGTAAAGAAGTGTGCTGTCATTCACACACATCCTCTGAAACCCGTCTCAGTCAATCGGTCGGTCGATCAATCAATCGATCGATCAATCAACCAATCATCCGACACAGTTATAAGTGTGCAGATGAGTATGATCAGTCAGGACTAACAAAGAACTCATGTGATGGTAGAGTCCATATGGTTGTTTATCCATAACAAAGTCTGACAGGTATTTCATTTTCGACTCACCTACAAATCTTAATCTGAAGATGAGAAACAGGAACTGAAAGCAATTGGACAGCGGTTTTTATCTTACAAGCTCTTTAAACAGTTATTTTATGACCTACTAAATTCCTGCAGCATCTCACTGATGCAGTCAGTCAGCATTTTGGGTATACAGAAGCAATTCTGTGTGTTTTTTGGCAAGCAAATTTACATGTCAAATACATAAGAAATATCCAATTAGTGTGCTTCTGTTGCGGACGGAACACAGGAAGCGTGCGGATCCATCTGCAAGGCTTTATTCATTGAGACGTGGTCAAAACAGGCATAGGTCAGACAATGGCAAACAGGTATATTGATGGCAAGGCAAGAGGGATAATCCAGGTACAAGGCAAAGGTCCAGGCAGGGGCAAACAGTATCCAATAGGGCGAGACTCGAGAGATAATCCAGGTAAACAGGCAGTGATCAGAACACGGGGAAACAGACAAGGCAAGACAAAGAAAACAAGACACTAGGCTCGGTAATACAGCTAACACTAGGTGAGTGGAAAATGCAGAACATGGCAGTGAGAGAGAGGAAGTCCATGGCTTATGTAACATGTCTGATTGGATTCAGCTGTGTGTGTGTGTGTGTGATCAGTGCATTCAGGGATTCAGCTGTGTGTGTGTGTGTGTGTGATCAGTGCATTCAGCTGTGTGCGTGTAATCAGTGCAATGGTTGATGGGAAATGCAGTCCAGGGTGATGTTTAACAGTCTGTGTGGTGTGAGAGTCAATGTAATGGGAGAATGACCTCTAGTGGCAATCGGTCTGAAGCCCACGAACCGGATTCGTGACAGCTATTTCTCTGTTCTAATATTGAGCATTTTAATTGCTATAATATTTCTAATCGTACTCTGGTGTTAAATTAGTTAGAATGTCTCCTTTGGTTAATTTATTTCTTAATTTTAAAAGGTTTTACAAAAATATCCGAGCAAACATAAAACTGAACCCAAAATCTCAAAATGTCAAATCAACATGAAAAGCCTACAAGCCCACACAACTCAAGCACATCTCCACAGATCAACAATTCATAAATAGTGAGGGGTTGATAACATGACTAGAAACTGGTGAGCAACTAAGCAGCAAATTAATATTCATAAGCCCATTTTTTATATTGTGACATCAGAACCCGCCCAATTGAAAACTCTTTCCGGCACCGCTATCTACATCATATGAAGTACAATCATGTCTTGTGAGCTGCTTATGTTATAAGTGTGTAGTGCAAACACTCTCCAGACCTTTCCACGCATCTTAAACTCAATGTGACATACCCTCCCATGATCGTCCTGCTTCTTCTATTAAGTGCTGAAGTGTCTCTGCTCTAGATGAGCCAGTTATTAGCACATTCAGCCAAGCTAATGCATTTTGAATAATACATAAAACATCCTGATTAGTGTATGGAGGAGCTCCCTGAGGATTGCCGGGAAAGGGTTTAGAGGCTTTTCCCTTGGCGGAGGCACGAGACACAAAGGAGGGCTCACAAATTCTATTAGTCACAGTGGCTGCAGTTCAAAGATGCTCCACGCTTCATTCAGTCACTCTTCATTAATTTGACCGCTTTTGAGGCCATTTATAAGCCAGGAATATGTGTGTGTGTGTGTGGTAGGAAGGGTTTCTAAAGATAGAGTGGTTAATTGCCCTTAGGATTGAGACTGGAGCGATGTTTAATTGTCTGCTAACGTCACTAAAACCGCATGCATAAAGGTGTGAAGAATTTTATCCCCTCAAGCTGTTTCTTGGTCACTATATAGACATAAATACAAACTTTAAATCATTACAAAGAGCTGATGGATGTTTATATGGAAGCCTGTTTTTCCATCTCAATTTATTGCAAATTTACAGACTGCTTGACATGATGGTGTATGAAATGTTTTGATTATATCATCAAGACTGTGGTTGTATTTCTTCCATCTCAACCTGTTTGTGCATGTACAAGTGTGTGTTCGTGTGTATGCCTTTGGGAGAAGATTGCCCACTCTTATCAGTGTTTGTCCAGTGGTGTGTAACTGAGTTTATCTGGATGAGCTGATTGGCAGAGATAGAACTACGGATGCATGAGTGAGTCACTGTAGGCCCTGCCGCATTAAAACTTTCCAACCTATCATAAGTGTGTCTCAAATACACCCACAGACACATATGCCTTGACCATGCCTGGGGCTGTGGTGGTGTACATATATCCAGGTCAGAGGACATAGCATCATTAGCCTTTTAAAATCTCTAATGCATTATGGTTAATGCCTCAAGTCAGTATTAGTGAGCGTATTTGTGCCAACTTGTATTTAGTCATTGGAGGTGACAGAACAACAGTAGCACACTGAGGATATTATTCAGCGTAATGTTTAGAGATGAGGCATCAATGCAGTATATAAGTTCAATGCAGTTTAATGAAACACGAGAGAGTGTTCTAAATATGTGCAACAGACCTTAGTCAGGTTGGACATCATATTGAATTTAACACGGATGAAAATGAGGCTTTGAGGGATAGATTTAGAGTCTTAACAGTGGCATGCACTGTATGGTTCTAGATCATAATTTTCAAAACTCAGAACTGTTATGAAGTCTAATCTATGTTAATGACAGTTGTTTTTCCAAAATATGTTTTGTCAGCAGAACAAACAGCATGTAGTTAAATAACAGTACAATCCACTATTGTCCAATGACAAGTAATTTGTCTGTCCACACTGAAGGCACAAAATATGAGACTCGAAACAACCACAGCCAATAGTTGTTTGAGTCAGAATTTATTTGGTGTTTGAAATTCAACTATACTGAGTGGATGAGATTTCAGTTTGGTCGGGTATACCCAGCATGACATTACAAAAATAAAAACCAACATGTCCTGTCAAGACATAATATCCTGACAATTGTTGCTTTTTCATATCATGTCTGGTTGGGACTAGCCTCAGCATCAGAAAAAACAGCCATAGACTGCCTACCCTTCATCCACCACACTCATAGCTGATGCTTATGTCACACTAAACTGGAAACATTTGGGAAAATTAAAAGTCTAAATCTGATTGGCTGATATCTATTGGATTTCCACCTAGTCTGCAGAAGTCTTTAACGGTCCACCAGGAAACAAAGCAGGGTTCACAAAGACTCTGACAAAGAGCACTTCACATGAACGTTAGATTTCAAAACGTTTGTTAAAGACGAACATCATGTTTTGAAATCATGAGGTGAATTAGAAGGGTTAGAAATATTATTTAATGGAATTTTTGTCATATTACAGCTAAAAAGCTAATAAATACTACTTTTAATAATACTATTTTTTCAAAGTTGTATATAAAACACAGTGTAGATTTTACAAGAAAATACTATTTCAGTCTTTCTACTTCAAAATTTCACATTTCATTCAATGTGTTACTTGCCATTTCTTTGTAATTATTTGTTAAATTTACTAGCAGATTCTGAGTGAAAATTGTTTCTACACCAATGTTTTTAATTTTTATTTTTTAGTGTAGCTGGAAGAGCGACTGTACATGAACTAGCAACACATTTTCTAGTTACTTAGCAACTTGAGCAAGGCAGGAAGTACATGGGGTGGATTTGTTGTAATTGTTGGAACATTTATGTCAGTGATCACATTTTTAGATGCCAACATCAGAAATAATCTTGTTGCCTAGTCGACAAGTCAGTCATATTTTTCTCTCTACACTAATATATCATGTGACCCCATGGTTCTGTTGAGGACAATTTAAAGCAGGCTGCAAATGTCAATCATGCTTACAAAGTTTAGTTGACTTAATTCAGAGCCACAAAATAATTCATAATATAGACTTTTTTATCTGTCCTACTAAGATGCAGAATTAAAGTCACTGTATGAACTGTTCAAATCTCTTTCTCTGTCTGTCTCTTTCTCTCTGTGTTAAACTAAGGCCACACATTGAGCTCTCTTACATGGAAATGCTAAGTAGATGTGTGTGTGTGTGTGTGTGTGTGTGCATTATAGTGGATCAGTCTGACTCTGCGTGGTTTCTTTTCTCAGCAAGACTTTCAGCACAAGAAGACGGAAACGCCACAGTCACTACTGAGAAAGCGCCTGGCATGTGACAAGCTTTACTCAGCCTTAAACCTTTCGTCTCTTATCCTGTCTTTCACACATATACACAAACTTTGTGATGGATGCACACAAAGCTTTTTCTCACTCTATTGCATCCTTTTACCTTCTAATTTTCTTCCTCTCTGTCTCACTCTTCCTCTCTTTGTGTGGCTAGAGATTATTCAAAAACAATGCCACTGTCACTCTCAACAGCAACAACAAAAACCGCTTATGTTTTTTTCCTAATTTGTAGGTGCCTTGGATAATAGCATCTGCTAACTGATTAAATGCAATGAAAAATACTCAATTCTCCAGGGAAGATTTCTATGAGAAATAAAACACTTCTCAACGAGTTCTTAAACACTATTCTTGATCTAATGAAGGCTATTGTTTTGTTTGCATGTCTGAAATGCTGGGAATCCCACTCATGTATTCTTGACTGAAAAAATTAGAAGGTCCAATCCTGTTTATGCAGTACATTTTATAATAATAATGAATAAAAATATTCAAAACCAAGTTTTGTTTTCCTTAAACAGTGTGATCTCACCTTTGACCGGAAGGGCTCAGGGAATCCTCCGTGTGGTATTCCAATGTGTCCTTGCAGAAACTCCACAACAGACAGAGGGAAGGAGAGCTCGTCTGCTCTCTCTTCTACCTCAGCCCGGGAGAGAGAGTTCTGCACCATGAACTGAGCCAGATCACCCACAATCTTAGAGGAGGGGGTCACCTGAAGAAACAAAAGTGATATAGAGAGAAATTATGTCCAGGAAACAGTTCTTCATTTCTGGAAACTTTTCAAACAAACTCACACAGCACATTTCAAAGGAAGGACTTCTATCTATAAAATCTACCTCCTTAGTCAGCTAGAAAGGTTCACCCTGTTCAAAATGCACACGATTCTACTGACAAATTGAGCATAATAATCAACTCCCATTGTAATGCTGCAAACCCCAAGAAGAGATAAAGAGAACATGACCTTTAAGAACATAAACTCAAAACAATTCAAGAAACCGAAAGAGGATTTGATTTGTGGAGATGTTAGATTGAAACAAGGGGTTACTTTCTTTTAAAAGGAATAGTTAACCTATCATTTACTGTCATCATTTACCTGTATAACTTACATTCTTCCATGGAACACAAAAGAAGGTTTGAAGAATATTCTGGTTAAAGGATTCAATGAAAAGATCTGAATCAAAAGAAGGGTTAGTTTTCAAAGACTGGGGATATAGTGCACAAGATGTACGTACCACTTCTATGATAACTTTATTTAGTTTCATAATACTGGCCATTGTTTTTAGGATATTCTAAAAATTCCACAGTAGAAAGTAAGTCACACGAGTATGAAGCAACATGAGGGTGTGTGATTCAAATTTTTGCAAGAATTATTCCTTAAAATGTGAACAACACCAAATAATTAGAGAAAAAAAATCTTCACGTGTATTTTAGACATTCTCTAAAGGTCACTGAGATTCAGCCAATAAAGTGAATGCATGAAGAGTTAAGGATTCAGGAGAGAGACAGAAAATGACAAAAGAAACCAACAGAACAAAACAAGAGAGTGAGAGAACTATATGAAAATAAGAGATCCATGAGGATTTGAGAGGAGGAAAGACACACAGGATGAAGAAAGAGAAAAAGCAAGAGATTAAGGGGAGGAATAAAATGTTAAATGTCACACCATTTTTCCTTCACATAAATAGTTCAGCATTCTGCGAAAAAATACCTTATGTGCAGCAAAACTGCTGTCAACTTTTCAACTTGCAGTGTAGGCGAGAACTTTGAAAGTGTTGCCTTAAAAATGTACCATAGTACAGTATTGGCATATCAGATATTTTGATATGTGCCACAGTAATGATTATAACATAGTGCTCCAAGGCATTTTAAAGGATATCATACTGTAGCGATAACATGGTATTGCTGTGTTGCCATGCCCAAAAAACATACTTTTTTTTTTTTACAAATTAAACAAACAAACAAAAACTGTAACCACTCCAGGACTGGATGGTTGAAAGTAGGTCAAAAAAGGAAAGAAATAAGAGTGATATTTAGGATTAAGTTTTGTAACAGAGTCCTAGACAAAGGTTATGCAAGGTTAATATCTTAGTTTAAATACAAAGCCACAGACATGACATGTGCAAAGGCTTTGGCAACAGCCCCCACAGACCCTGAGTGACTCGGGCACTGCTAGGACCGTAGACCATAACGCAGTGCAGACCTCCAATTATAAAACTTATTTTGCACATAAATATCAACATTACAAACCTTTACATAAGTTACACATGTTCTTTGAACAATATTAAAATTCTGACACTCTTGCATATCTCGCTTCTGCTTCAGAAGTTCAGTCATCTCAGCCAGGGAATACTGTTCACAGAGAAGTGACTCTCCGTAAGATGTCTGGATAACCAAATGTGATTTCACTAAATTAAGCGTGACATGAGACATTGGTTGAGCTCAGAATAGCAGAGTATCGTACTATTTTGCAGTGTGTTATTGTGGGTATTGCTCAGAATTGTAATCAGTATTACATTTGATAAATGTTCATAAAATGGGATACTATATGCTTAGTATTAAAAAAAGAAAACATTATGCTTTGGAGAATGCAGTCATAATGTTTTGAAAATAAACTCATAATAGGTATTTTTTTTAAGAAGTATTCAAAGACATTATTACTTTTTTCCCCTAAAATAAATTACATAATACATATAATACATAAAAAAATACATTACAAACACTAATACTGTGAAATATGTTTACAATTTAAAATACCTGTTTTCTATTTTAATATATAATAAAATATTATTTATTCCTGTGATGGTAAAGCTGAATTTTTTTTAGCAGCAATTACTCCAGTCTTCGTTGTCAAATAATCCTTCATAAAACATTCCAATGCTGATTTGGTGATCAAGCATTTCTTATTATTACCATCAATTATTATTATTATCATTTATTTGATATAGAAATCTGGTAACACTTTAGAATAGGAAACACATATTCACTATTAACTAAGAGGTTTCCCTGAACAAACTCCTAATTTGCTGCTTATTAATAGTTAGTAAGGTAGTTGTTAAGTTTAGGTACGGGGTGGGTTATGGGATCTAAAATATAGTCATGCAGAATAAGGCATTAATATCTGCTTTATAAGTACTAATAAACAGCAAATATGCTACTAATATGCATGCTAATAAGCTACTAATTAATAGCTAAAATTTGATCCTTAAAATAAAGTGTTACCAGAAATGTTTTGTAAAAAGATTGATCAAATTAAGACATCCTTGCTGAAAAAAGTGCCAGTTTCGATCTCATTTCCATTAGTTTGATTGTTTGTATGCATATTCATGCGTATTCATACATAAATGATGACCTACTTTCACAACTGATTTTGCAGCATGTTCTCCTTTCTCAGAATTGTATCTGTTGTGTTTTTTTCCCTAACACATTCTTTTAACTTTAACTTTATTCATTTTTAATATAACTATGATGATATACCCTTAACTATCTGTTTAGCTAAATAAACAACAATATTGCACATGATTTCATCACACTTTGCTGGGAAACAAGAAACTGAAAAGAGTTTGTAATATACAGTATATATATTAAATTTTCAGGAATTTATTTCAGGCCCTGATACAGAACATGATAATTGCACTAGAGCATTTGTCAAAACATGCAAAATACTTTTATTATTTTTTATTTTTTTGTAAAGACCCGAAGTCACTCCAAACTTAAACAACCAATGTAGTAAGTTCATGTGACAAGAATGTGGCATGTTACCATTTGAAAAAATGTAATATTACTTACTACTTAACACACTACTTTTAAAAACAGTACATACTGTCCACTACCATAGAAAATACATGAAAATTCAGAATAGTGGCTGATCAATGATCAATTCTTAAACATTTAGATTTGGTCTTTAATATTTGGCTACATTGTTGGACTGTAGCTCAACAGGATTGTCTGAAGCCAAAAGAAAGCATGTTTCTGAAGAAATATTCAAATTATGAGGATGCCGCCCTCAGTTACTGAAAAATCCTTCAACTTCTACCTTCACTTTGAATTGAGAGAAAAATCAGTGGGTTGTTAATTAAGTAGAGGATTTGTTAAGTACCCAGACACAATGCAAAACTCGGTCAGGCCAAGTCACTGTGATGGAGGCTGTCGGGGAAAGTGTTATAAGATGAGACTGAGACGGGATTAAAAGGGGATCAAACACACATGCACACACACACACACACACACACACACAGTAATCCTCATGCCCGTCAGTGTCTCCTCTTACTGCTTTTCTGACGTACTGTAATCCTTCTGTGTACATCTCAGTTGCTTTCTGCTTCTGTCTCTCAGTCTTTGCTTCCTCTCTCTCTCTCTCTCGCTCTCTCACACACACACACACAAACACACACACACAGGTCTAGAAGTGTTTACTCTCTCCTGTGTTATTGCGCAGGGTATCTCTGGCTAACTGACAACATCTGTTTGGCCATCGGCATGGACAGCGAGCGTTTTGAACTCAAGAGAACGGTTTGTGTGTGTCAGTGCTTGCTGCTGCTTCAAAAGAAACAGAATTAGTGGAGTGTGTGTACATGTGTGCTGCTGTGTGTCTCCGCAAACCGGATAGCAAAAAAGAGCAAGACATGAAGGTTGTGTTTAGAACTGAAACTAGCATAATGCTTACTGTGCAAAATATACACTATGCTGCCTAATATTTAGATATTTTTAAATACAGACTTTTAAAAAAAAAAAATTAAGAAGTCTACTGTGCTCACCAAGGCTACATTTATTTGATAAAAAAATCTTGTAAAACAGTAAAATTGTGAATTATTATTATAATAATAATAAAAAAACTGATTTCATATTTAATATTTTTAAATGTAATTTATTCCTGGGTTGGCAAAGCCGAATTTTCAGCAGCCATTACTCCTTCATTACTTTCTTCTTCAGTGTCACATGATCATCCAGAAATCCTTTTAATATGCTGATTTGGTGCTCAAATAACGTTTCTTATTATGATGAATGTTGTATTTTTGTGGAAACTGATACATTTCTTTCAGGATTCTAGCATTTATTTTTAATGCATTTATTTATTAGTCTTTACTGCCACTTTCCCTTTAACTTTTGGCAAATAATAAAACTTTGCCCTACCATTTGGTGAAGGATATCACTCTTGGTTCATTCATCATACCAGAAATGGTTTTAAACAGCACATTCTGGCAAATGTAGTTGGCCATCAAGGTATTCCATGCATAAAGAAAATAAGGCTACTACTATCTTTCAAAAATAGAATGTGGCATGCTATTCTGAACATAACCAGAGAGAGAGAGAGAAAGAGAGAGAGAGAGAAAGAGAGATTGCAATAGCAAAAGGAAAATAAATGGAGTATCACCACAAGATCTCAAAGTCCAGCCTATTTCCCCTCAGCCCATGAACTAAAATGAAGAGAGATGCCGTGGAAAAAAAAATAAGAGAGAAAAATAAGACAAAGAATGTAAATTGAATAACAATGACATGCAGACTGGAGGTAAATAGAAACTTCTATTAGGAGAATCCCAATAATTGATTGCACTGAGCGGAAGGCTGAAGCAAGCGATGCAAGACACATTTCAGCTGATCGATTAAGTCAGCCTTAGGGGGCAGAGTGCAGCACAGCAGAAGCCAGCACTGGCAGGTGACTGACTGCTGGTATCAGATTATAAGGACTGATCTGATAACCAGAACACTTAATCACATTATTCCTGTGAAGGAAAGCTACAGAACTCGTTCTTATGTTAGCCAAAGAGATGCTGGATGGTGGCAGAATGTTAGCTCACCATGCTGAATGAGAATTATACATCTAGAATCTGCAACATGTAACGTCTTGTTATTATTATTTTAATTTGAACAGAGGAAAGAATGACGTGTGCTCGTGATGACATTGTTATTTTGTCTCCATGCACAATTTAGGGTACACTGCAGCATTTTTTTTTTTGTTTTAAGTTAATTGGTAGGTTTGAATCAACAGGGACAAGAGCTTCGACTATATACTTGTGGAATATAAATGAAAGGAAATCCAATAGAAAAGAAAAAGCCACTTTATTCACTGCCCTTCAAGGACACTCTTCAGTATGTGGAACAGGGGAGGAGGAGAGAGAAAGAAAGAAAGAAAGGTAGAAAGAAAGAGAGTGGGTGACATATTTGGAATCAAAATGAGATTTTTGGAGGTCTTACTTTGATAAGGTCTCCCAGCAGCTTGTTGGCTTCGGCGTAGGCTTTCTTCACCTCTTTGAACTTGTTACCGAGGCCCATGCTGTGGGCCTGGAAGTGTAGGTTGGTGTACTGGCCTCCTGGGATCTCATTTTCATAAACATCTGCATTACCAGACTTCATTGTGGCGGTGCAGTCAAAGGGAGCATACAGACCACGAGCCACTTCCCAGTACTCGCTGTAGTCAAAGACTCTGTCCAGAGAAACACCTGCATGGCAGGAGAAGTGTGTTACAAATGCAGCAACTTTACTGTAGGATAATAAGAGATACGGCTTAATACATTAATTATTTGCACCTACTTATCTATCAGAGCTGCTAACTGAGTATCAGAGTGGAAGAAATTTGAGATCAACAACTCAAAATACTGTAATAATCAATGTAGATTTAATTAAGCCTGATGCCACAAGAGTCATCTTTCCAGTCTTCAGGCCACACACACACACACACACACACACACACTTTTTATTTTTAACACACTTCTCAGGCTGATCACAGAAGACGTGTGTTACAAATAAGCCATGTAGCTCCATATATATATACACAGAGTGAGGCTTCATAAAAGACACCAATTTCAATTTTAACTACACTACCCATGATTCTGCAGAGAAATATCGACCAATCAGAAAACTGTGGTTATACAAATCTTAATCACTATATTTTATCAAACTTAAAATATATTGAGTTGACTTTTTGTCGGAATTTAATATATATATATTTTCTTCAAAGCAAAGGTTGTAGTATCATGATTTCCCTCAAATCTGGTTTATTTAGGTCATGAAGAAAAACAAAAATCAATATTAAATGTTTATTTATTTATTTGATAAGTAGCCACATAATTAGCAGGAATATGTACAGGCAACCAGACAGGGTGATCATTGTCCCCATGCAGAGCAGGGGTCTGTATTGACTGTAGATTATCCTTTATTTATTTAGTATAGGCTGTTTATAAGCACCAAGAATCAAAAATCATTCAAATAATGTACAGGTCACAGTTTTGGCCATAACAGTATTCACACAAATTGTGACATAAGATCGCCTTTTCAAATCTGTTTAACAAGATACAGTGACTGCTCTGAGTAATTAGTCATCTTTTAAGTTGTCTTTAAAACTTAGGAAAGACATATATATATATATATATATATAGTGAGATGCTCCCTTCTATTATAATGCTCCTGCAGGGTCTGCGTCACTCCAACAGACAATAGTAATCAGTCCATTAAGTGAAGTGAATGTACATTGTGTGCTGTACTCAATGTACTACAGTAGATATATGTCCCTAAATGCCTATTAAGCAGATGTGTGTTTATGAATGTGTATTTGTAGTATGTATGTATGTATATGTGCTTGTATGAGCTATAAATAATGGTACAATATTCTGATTGGTTGATTATTATTATTATTATTATTTTATTTATTTATTTTTGTTGCATAAAGAGCTTTGGGCTTTAAGATAAAACTCTAAAACAAAGTATGCCATTCACTTTTTGGAAAAAAAAAAACTGACTAAGGTGGATGCCTGGTCTCCCAGTGTGGCAAAGCCTGGTTAATCCAGTCTGTTTTGATGGTTTTAGTGGGGTTTTGGGTACTTTCAGCTAGGAGAGCAGTTGGCGACCAGCTAATTTAACACCCACTTGGATCAGGCTGGCAGTATGGGAGATAAGTTGTATACGAAATCAGAAACAGGCTTCAGCATGGGAGTCCAGCTATAGCTAAGATCAGCAAACGTTGGTTTGAGATGTTTTTCCAGCAGGGAAAACACACAATGGCACAATTATATGACATAATTGTATACTTTCTGTTCTCTGACAAAAGCAAGTGCTAAAATTAAAGTATTCTAAACTAAACAAAGCTAAGGGTTGCATTTTGTGTTGAGTTCTGAGGTTAGAACAGTTTGTTCATATTATGCTGAAATTTACTGACATCAATGAAGACTGGCACAACATTGCAAAAAATTTGTGTGTGTGTGTGTGTGTGTGTGTGTGTGAGAGAGAGAGAGAGAGAGAGATTGTGAAAGTAAGTCCAAACTTGTCTTTCCACTGAGAATCGAGAGATGTAGAGAAAAAATGACAGATGGAAAGCAAGAGAGAAGTGTTAGTGGAAGCAGTGGGCTTGAAGACTGCATGGAAAAACATGGAAATGGAAGAATATGAACTTACAGATATAGAAGGACAAAAACAAAACAAACATATTGAAAAAATAATGAAAAATAAAGAAAAAAAAAACATATATAATCTACTCCATTTTCCTCCAACACTGCAAACCTGCAGCTTTAAAGTTTGTGTTCTTTTAAATCAGCTATTTGTCACATGTCTTCACAAATGCATCATGCATCAAAGTGGAACTTTAGAACGCAGTGAAATGCACAACTTCTTTGCAAAAGCTTGCATTTCCAGACTCCAGCATTCACATGTGTATGAATAGAAGTCAATGGATTGAAAAGTGTACTGTGCTTGCCCCTTTACTGGGGTAACCTGGGTATTTTTTCTTTTCTGTAAGTGCCATCTATGTCAGAGAGTGAAATGGCATTTTCATTCAGCCCATCGGCGTTTTTTTATGCACCAATCAAAACAGACAATTTGCATGCGAAAACTGGACCTAATTTTTTTTTTTGCCAAACATTTGTTGGAGTGAACAGACCTTTAGGGTTATGGATTTGAACAAAACCTCTAACTCTTAAGTTTTAAAGGTCAGGATGTAAACCTGCACAATTTGTGTTGCTGACATGAATGATGCTGAAAACTGTGTAGCCTTTATAGAGTAGAACATTTTTCGGTTTTCACCTAGTCACACTTTAGTTTGGGGATCAGTTCTCACTATTAATTAACTATTAACAATGACTGTACCCTCAATAAACTCCTAATTTGCTTCTTATTAATAGTAAGGTAGTTGTTAAGATTAGGTATGGGGAAGGATTAAGGGATCTAAAATATGGTTATGCAGAATAAGGCATTAATTTGTGCTTTATAAGCACTAAAAAACAGCCAATATGCAAGTAAGATGCACAGTAATAAGCAACTAGTTAATAGTGAGAATTGGTCCCTTAACTAAAATGTTACCACAATCCCATTAACGTACAACGAAAGATGGACCCCAGCCATATGTGGGGACCAGTATAGGAGTATTATAAATACTTGGGAGTGGGCTTTTCTGATGTAAGTCTGTAAGCAGCCACCTAACCAACCCCAGCTACTGCATAGCGTTGCTCCTGGCAACCAACCAGAACACCTTAGGAACCACATAGCAACGCTCTGGCAACCACCCAGAACTAGCATTGTGGTGGCAATGTTCACATAAACAATCACCACCCATATTTTCCACATAAAATGTAAAAATCATTTTTTTTTTCTCTTATGTTTTGCTTTGTTAATTTTTATCATATCTCATTTTTTGATATCTCAGTGTTTAAAGAGCGACTGACAGATTGCTGTGTATGGTGTGGCTACATGAGAGACTGTTCAGGAGAATCTGAAACTGAAGTGCAGCGGCCATTATCTAACCATCCTGCCTCAGAGGAACCATATTTGGGGGACAGACGAGGGGGAGAGCGGGAGGGAAAGGCTGGGAAGAGGAACTATGATTTAACTTTGACGGTAATGAAGTGGAGGAAGGAGAAATACATGGGTAAGTGCAGTTAAAAAGAAAATGGGGGAGAGGGTATGGAACATTCTCTTCCTCTCTTTTCTTCTCCGTCATTAGTCTTTGTCCAAGGTGTGTCAGCACATTCCCCTCTCTGCTACTGTAGGCTTTTTGCCTAACATGCCTCTCAGAATATGGCAATTATCACACTCACACGGACAGTACAGCACACATGCACACAACTGTATAAAAGTACAAATGTATTGATATATGACGACAGCCCCTGCTGGGTCCCTTGATTAATGAGCTTAGCGACTTGACTAATTAGACATCATTAATCAATTGTGCCTGCCTGTAACATTAAACTGATCATGGGCAGCCTGTTGAATTAAACTGCACATGTACTGACCTAGGCCAGAAACACACCTTAAGCCGGGCTCACACTGTGCGATTTTTTAAAAGTCCTTTAGGATTGTACTTGTCAGACTGTACGAACATGATGATCATGTCACACTGTGGGATCTCAGTTGTCATTAATGTCAGACTGTACGACAGTCAAGACGCGTTAAAAACGGGTGCGCGCAAGAAAACTTGTCCGGAGTTTTACCTTATCAACACATATACGTTCAGTGACTGCGAGCTGCATTGCACGCGGGGCTGTAATGTTGTATAATCATTAAAAGTATATGAATGGCAGCAATACCGGCGTATTTAGTGTAAGCAGCTCTACACACCCATATGAAAACAGCAGTGCAACCGGTGTATATCATAGCAAAGGCAACGAATCATATGAATTCCGTGAGCAGAGGACGAGAGCGCCGAAGTTTATGCGGTTAGAAGAAATCTCTAGCATTAATTCTGATCATGGCTTGTCTTGAAAAACGAAGACAGTTTGTCGTTCGTCGTAGGAGATGTCACACTGCAGGACTGTGCGCCAAATCTTCTGACACTGCCAGAAGTTCGTCGGAGGTAATATTTGATCGCAACGGCCATTAATTGTCAAACTAACGATCAAAGACTACAGATTTTAGCCTAGGATTATAGGAATCTTTTAGGATTTTCAAAATTTGTCTCAGACGACCAAATCGTGGCCAAAATCGCACAGTGTGAGCCGGGCTTTATGTAAACATTCAAGTGTGGACCAAAAGTCACATGTTGTGCATACTTAAAGCTTGTTCTCACTTCATCTAACTTGCTCAGCAGCACTATTCAGTCTTCAAACATTTGCTGTGCCATGACAATAGTTGACCAAAAACACAAAACTACAAAACTGACAAAAATATTAAACTGCTATATTCAGCATTGGTAATAATAAGAAATATTACAGAAACACAGCATATCTGAATGATTTCTGAAGGATCAAGTGACACTGAAGACTGACGTAATAACAAAACAAATTCAGATTTGCCATGATAGCAATACATTACAATTTAAAATACATTAAAATAAAAAAAGTTTTTGCTTGATTGCAGTACTTTCATAATACTATTGTTTTCACTGTATTTTTTTTTTATCATAGGAGACTAACAACATTAAAAAAAAAATCTTACTGACCCCAAACCTTTGAACTGAAGTGTATATAAATACATTTTTATATTTTTAAGTTATATTTTTGGGCACTGACTTTATTTGACAAGAGGAGTTGTGAGACTAGAACAGAAAAGACCTTGAGTCAGAACTCGGGTACCCCGAAGCACTGTTGTGCGATATGTCAAGAGCTCTGCCCACTAGCCTATGGCTATGACTTCTTTTTAAGCTGAACTGCTATTAAATACTTTCAGACGAGATGCAGTGGCTGAAGATGTCAGTCTGCATGTCTACACAGTCCAAGAACTCAAAAATAGCGCAGATGGAATAAATGTTTAAGGAAAAATATAATAAACACTACATATACAGTATCACATGTAAATCATAATACATATGACATTAGTGACTTTCAGGGCTTTACTTATCTGCCACAATAATGTAATGCCATTTAAGTACTATTTGGGGGATTTTCTCAGTCAGCTTTTCTCAGTCCCAGTTTGCATTTACACACATACTTGTGTAGATTATGTTTTGAGCCTTAAGGCGTGGTCACATTTATGCAGATTTTGCTCGTT